TTATTCGGTAAGGAATTTCGATTCAACCCTGAGGCTGTCTCTTATACACATCTAGATGTGTATAAGAGACAGCACACACACACACACACACACACACACAGACACGCACACACGATCGCAACTCGCCAGAACACACACACACACGCACACACACACACACACACGCAGACACACAGACACGCACACACAGTCGCAACTGGCCAGAGTGGCAGAGACACCACGACTTTGCTGCAGAGATCAACACAGTGCAGCAGAACAAAGCAGACACCTCAAGGAAGCCCTCTACAACCCTTCTGAAAACCACGTTTGGCAGCGCTCTCAACATCTCTGTATGTTTGGCAATGAGATCATTCCAATCTCCCTGGTCAGACGAACCTTAATTTTGTGGATCCCTCTAAGGAGTCAAACGACTCTACCCCTCCTAAAACCCCTTAAATATAAACACTTCTTAAGCCCCTTTTTGCACCTTAACCCCCCTTTAAACCCGAACATGGTTCTCAGAATACGCTGAAATTCACAATTTGACATGCACAAAAATGCCCATACTAATCCTCAGCCAAGACGATGCCGAACATGTCTATCCCCGCCCCTTGTCAGTTCAGACTGTTCTCAGACAGGCGAACTGGGAGATTTGGTCAGACAGTTCCGGCCACACAATCCAGGCCGGACGGGCTGGTAACAAACATACCACCCAAGTAAAGGCCACCTTACTCCCATCTATGCCTGTGCTTCTCCACACGACCCCCGCAGACAACGGTCAGGTTTTGAACACTCTGCTGCCCGAGGAGGACCCCGGGTGACCCCAGAGTGACCCCAAGGTGACCCCAGGGTTTTGCAATCAGTCGCAAAGTGGCTGCTCTGGCGAGCCCACCACAATGCATACCACATCAGGAAATCAATACTCTAGCTTACACAGGTCTGTGAGATTCCCAACAGTTTGTTCTCTGTTGAGGGAACCACATGGCTCAGACGAAGACTGGAAGAGCAATTTCTTATTTCCATCCTTTTTCTGTGAGTCAGCGGCACGCCACAACGCGTCACAGAGCTTTCAGACAAAGGCTCCCACAGCAGACAGGTTTGCCTGCAAGTCCAGTCTTCACAGCCCCCAGACATGCCCAGGCGTTGTGGGGGTTTGGGGAGATTAACAGGGATTGCAAGCCCCCTTCCTCCAGCACCCAGACATGCTCAGAGAGCCACCTTATGCAATCTCCCAGCGTTAGAAAAACATGTGCCCTCCATGCACACAAACCCATAAGCACAGAATTCTCCAAGCAGGGATGCTTTCCAACATTCCTTTTTCGGCATCTTCTTTGAAAATATGTGAAATAGAAACCCAGCTTCACTTGGGGCCTTTGGCTAACAAAGACAGTTTTTTGTTTCGTGTGTGTGTGTGTGTTTTTTTTGGGGGGGGGGGGGGGGGAAGGGCGGGACGGAGAGTAGGCTGTGGGGGGAAGAGAGAGACGAGGCGGAGAAGAATCACCATACAATACTGGGAAGCAACGCAAAAGAAACGCAGCACCAGTTCCTCTGCACATACCTCTCCAGCGTCCTTCAGCATTCTCACAATATCTTGCTTGTGTTTGGGCTCTGCCCTCGAGAATACGCACCCACCCCTGTGGCTGAGAAGCAACTCATACCGTTTGTTGTACGGGAGGGATGTGAAATCCTTGCCTGAAAAGCACAAAAGACAAGGAGAAAAGGCAACCCACAAGTCGTCCATTTACTCAATCGCGCTCGGCATGGTAAGACCTTCGCAATAAATACATTTTTTTTGTTTTTTTGCCCCCGTCTCCAACTCAAATGGATGGTCGAACTTTGGGCCTCTGTGACCAGCGGAAAGAACTCCGGACTCCAGACATGACTCAGAGCAAATTGGCAGTTGATGCTCGAACAGAGGCGGAGGAGGGGGCGCACAGAAAACTGTATGTACCTCCGTAAAGTGCACACATGTGTGTTGCACTGCTGCCTGTTTGATGCGGCACATGAGGGAAGACGACGACACATTTGCTTGACAGTACGGTGCTGCCTTCTAGAGGACCAGCTCATCCTTCTGTTCCTTTTATCAGAAAAAAAAAAAGGAAAGGCGACGACCTTGGACCGGCCGTAGGTTAATTCAGAAGAATGTATTTCATTCAAAGGTCCAGCAGGATTAGAACACGGGTCTGTATTTCAACGGTTCACGAGTGTACCAACTGAGATAAACTCGTTGGTACCTCATATCTCTCTGGAACGCAAACGCGGTGGCACTTGTCCCAGAGAGGAGTGCCATCAGGGATAGGCCATCCGACTGCTGCTTAGCGACAGACATCAGGAGAAGACAGAAGGATGGCTGTTCTGCAACTAAGGCTCCACTACTTCCTAGTGAAGATGAAATTATGACATGCAATGAACCCCTTGTCGTGTACAAATACAGAATATCCACTGCCACATTGCCTTCTCCGTTTGCCCCTGTCACAAAAAAGTACGGCCACTCGCCATAGCCAATGACCGCCGAGCTGTTTGGGATCCCCAGAGACTTTACGCGAGAATTCTCTCAATCAAACAAAACAGCGCTCTTGCGCCTTCGGCCTTCTCTGCGCCCCCCCCCACTCCCTGCATCTAACACTAATTTCATCGAGTGACTAATCGCGTGCTACAATGCCATGCCAGCCAGTGAATGGCATAAGCAGCGCTGACTGACCCCTCCAAGTGAACATGAGATTTTGACCCTTGGTGTGTACGAATACAGAATATCCACCACCACACTGTGTACGAATACAGAATATCCACCACCACACTGCCTTCTCCGACTGCCCCTGTCTCTCCCCCTGCGCTGAACACTTATTTCATCAAGTAGTCGATCGCGTGCAACAAATGTCATGTCAGCTGGCAAATGCCATATACGGTGCCGACTGTGCCCTCCACGTAGACATGAGATTTTGACGTACAATGTGCCCCTAGTTGTGTACCGAACCCCTGAGTCGAAGATGTGTACGCATCCCCCGTACCAGTCCCTCAAAAAATGGCTATGTCCTAACAGTCATACCATACCCCTCCCATCTATCCTGTGCAAACCCGCCAGTTTCACCAGGCCATGGAAAGGCTCCCCCTACCAGACCAAATGCCTGGCAGCGCCCCGTGGGCCCTTGTCCCCCCGCAAGGATTCGGAATGTGACAACCAGGCAAAAATGTGCATTGAGAAAACAGAGGCCAGGAGGTATTGGTGGTTTAAACCACCCAGTACATCTTATCCTGTTTTGCACGATGCGGATTCCCCCCTGCGCACCAGGCTTTGCCTAACTGCCAGCGTGGCATGTTCGTTTTTTCGTTTTGGTCGGCGCTGCGAGCCATTGTTGGAGCCTTCGAATTTTTCGGAGAGAGTCTCTCGTTGTCCGCAAGTTGCTTGGGGCCATGTACCGGTGGTTTACGGTTCCGGCTCACTCCGCCCTCACCTGTAATACTGCAGAAGGATGTGTCTTCCCCATCCTGCACAACACCGATCTCTTTGCAAATGGCCTCCGCTGTGTTCTTGTTGTCCCCGGTAATGACCACAATCCTGATCCCCGCATCCCTGCAGTCTTGAACAGCGCGGGGAACCTCCTCTCGTGGCGGGTCCTGCAAAAACCCAGACCGAAGCAGTAGCCAAGCAGTCAGGAAAGGCAGACTGTCGGGATAGGCAGGCTGTCAGAATAGCCAGGTTGTCCAATGATGTTGTTAAGAGCATTACAGTTGGCCACCTCCTAGCATGCACCCCTACACCATCGTCTCCGCTTCCAACCTGGGCCCACACCCGGGAGTGGAAAGGTGCAAGCGCTTGTCAGTTGCTCAGGTGCATCACCACTATGATTTACAGTCAGAAGTCACGACGTGTGTTCATGTGTGCAAAGCTTCTCTGTCTTCCCTTTAGTGAACAGATTGAGCACTTGGTACACTCCCTGCCATACGTTGGCCTGGTAAGGTCTGCGTAAGCGGTCCATGCCCATCGACTGCACTGTCGCTCATTTTCGAGCGTTTGCGGTGTACAGCGTTGCTGCTGTTCATGTACGTCGGCCGCATTGTTGCTCGTTTTTTTGGAGTGTCTGCTGTTGCCTTCGTAAAAGCGGTTCATGGCACGCTGCTTTTCGTTGCTTTCCTTTACCTTTCCCGGTATGGTCTGAATACCGGAGTCCCACCCTTGTTAATGCCCCCCCCAAAGGGTTTGTTTCACACGAGTTTGAGAAAAGAAAAAAAAAAGAGAGACTCACCCTTAATCCCACCATACCGACAAAAATCATGTCACTCTCGATGCTTGCATAATTTGCAGGCTCTGCCAGCCACCCATGTTCAGGATGGCCTTCGCCGTCATAGAACGACAGGCTGCCAAGGTCGTCCCGGTACGCGAGCGCCAGGCACCTTAGTGCCTTGGACCCCATCAGGTTGAGCTTGCTGAGTATTCGGTTCCGCGCCTGCTGTGTCATATTTAGAACGACGCCCTTCTCCGCCTGAATCTTTGTGCATCTATCCAACACGCACTCGACCGCCCCCTGCATTTCAAACATACCGAGGGACAACAAGGGGGACAAAACAGAGAGCCGGCCAAACGATCAGATGCGAAAATCTTTCCGTTCAGAAAACCCCAGAGCATTGCACCTGCTTTGCAGTTGACTGGCACACGCAACGTACCGCTTCGGAAACAGGTCATGAGATAAAATCCTGCTCCCGCTCAATAACATGAGGGGGCCCGCGAGCAGGCCCCCTGCATTTCATTGACAAATGGACAAAAGAGAGAGCCACGAAATCCGATGCAGAAATCTTTTCATTCCAAAACACCAGCATTTTCGCTCCTGCTTTGCAGATCAATGGTACATGCATGCAACTGTTAGGAAACAGGTCATGCGTTCACAGAGCTGATGGGAATCAGTAATGCTAGGGGGTGCCACCCCTTTAAACCACTAGCACCTCCGCCGGTGTTGGGAAATTGCGAGGTTTAGCCAGTTCCCCAAGAAATCGGGGGTGGGACACAGGGTTGGCAATGTGACCAATGTCCCATAAATCTGAATTTAAAAGTGCCGCGAGTGAAAGGAAAAAGGGGGGGAAAAAAAGGCTTTCTCTACTGCAATGATGTCGGTCAGGGTAGTCCAGGACGCCGTGCTCGCAACCTTCCTCCACAGAATGCACCTTACAGGTAAGGCGGTCACATTACTGTTTTCTTTTTTTTCTTTGTCCTGTGTGTTTCTTACGAGTCCCCTGTCCGTGAATTGCTCACGCTGTCCGTGATCTGCCCAAGCTGTGTTTGTCAGAGGATTGTAAGGCTCATTACACTGGCACTTAGGGGAATGTATCCAGCCATTTTCACGGCCGGATCCATGTGCCCGTTTTTTCCCCCTTCCCTTCTCTTGTTGGAATCTGACAACCTGGACACGGGGATGAGATGCCCTCATTGAGGGCACACTCACACTACCACTTCCAAGAATGTATACAACTGCAATCACGGCCAAAGCTTTGTTTCCTTTTTTTTTCTTTCTTCTTTTCTGAGGTTCACGGCCGCAACTTTTCGTCTTCTTTTTTCTTTTTTTTTGTTCTTTCTGTGAGAGTACCAGAAAGAAAACGGAGTGGTACCCAGGCTCAGCAAACTCAGAGCGCAGTGAAATTCAGGGTCGGCAAAAACAGGCTCGGAGGTACTACTGGTTAAAAAAAAAAAAAAAAAAACCGAAATGGTCTTGTGATGGAACCAAGAAAAGTCCAGTGAAAAGAAGAAAACAAAACGACAAACAAAAAAGAAAAGAAAGACCACCTGTGCGTGCACGACTGACGGCAGCACGGGACGTGATCGATGCTGAGGCTTTCTTTTTCCGCGTCTATTGTATGGTCGGGGTCTTGAGATGGAGGTTCAAGCTCCTCTTACGGCGGGCAGAACTACAGCGCAAAGTAAGATAAACGATTGATTACATAATCGAACAAGGCAGGAAAGAAAACTTTATGCTCCTCACGGGTCTGACCAACACATCAAGGGTTCGAATCCTGAAAGAATCCATTTAGATTCCAGTCTTTTGAAGACTATAAATCATAGCAAAAGAGGACCAAGTTTCATCTCGATTCAATGTTCGTACTTTTCCTTGTCGTTTTACCATTTAGCTACAGGTGATGTCCCCCAGATAGCAAAGAAAGAATCCAAGTAGATTGCAGAATGCAAGGAAACGCAAATGAATGTGTTCACGGTACACAGGATCACCAACACAAAAATGATTCAAAGAATTCTGCGGTACAGGGGGGGGCGTCCCCGACGCCGCGTTTCGACGACTGCCCAGAACCCACATTCCACGCCCCGGTTTAGGCCCAAACAGAGCCTCGCTGCAGCATGCAACTCTGTGCCATAACAAATTCGTGCTCAGAGAGTATGTCAATTTGTTGTTACCATGTACCTTCGCTGTGGTTGTATGGAACGCACACGCGACTGATTAAAAGGAAAAGATCACGAGTTCGATCCCAATGCCATACTGTGATGTGAGGGGCCTTGGCACCTCTTCGTGGTGATGTTTGGTGATCCATTCAAACAATACCAGCAAAACAAAAGACGGTGGCAGGCATCGTCTGGGTAGCCGGCCAACCACACCACTCAGCCAGATAGATAGCAAGTTAGCAACCTACCAAGAAAGAGAGAGAGAGAGGGAGGGAGGGAGACGGAACAGAGAGAGAGAGAGAGAGAGGGGGAGATAGAGAGATAAAGGGAGAGAGATGGAGAGAGAGAGAGAGGGCGAAGAGAGAGAATGAGAGAGAGGGAGAGAGAGAAAGGGAGAGAGGGAGAGAGAGAGAGAGAGAAAGGGCAAGAGAGAGGGAACGAGAGACAGGGAGAGATGGAGAGAGAGAGAGAGGGCGAGAGAGAGAGGGACAGAGAGAGGGAGAGAGAAAGGGAAGAGAGAGAGAGAGAGAGAGAGAGGGCGAGAGAGAGGGCGAGAGAGAGGGAGAGGAGGGAGAGAGGGAGAGAGAGAGAGAGAGAGAGAGAAAGAGAGAGAGAGAGAGAGAGAGGGCGAGAGAGAGGGAGAGGAGGGAGAGAGGGAGAGAGGGAGACGGAGAGAGAGGGCGAGAGAGAGAGGGAGAGATGGAAAGAGAGAGAGAGAGAGAGGGCGAGAGAGAGGGCGAGAGAGAGGGAGAGGAGGGAGAGAGGGAGAGAGGGAGACGGAGAGAGAGGGCGAGAGAGAGAGGGAGAGAGAGAGAGAGAGAGAGAGAGAGAGAGAGAGAGAGAGAGAGAGAGAGAACCAATCAAACCAAATAAACTCTGGAGCCAGGAGCGTAGAGACGGACCAGCCCACACAGACGGATTAACCAACCACCAACTAGCCCACCAACGGGAGATGTAAAGGTAGGTAGGCAAATTAAGAGGGAGAGAGGGAGAGAGGGAGACGGAGAGAGAGAGAGAGGGCGAGAGAGAGAGGGAGAGATGGAAAGAGAGAGAGGCGAGAGAGAGAGAGAGAGAGAGAGCCGATCAAACCAAATAAACTCTGGAGCCAGGAGCATAGAGAAAGACCAGCCCACACAGACGGATTAACCAACCACCAACTAGCCCACCAACGGGAGATGTAAAAGTAGGTAGGCAAATTAGGGTGGCGGTTCGGCCGGGGAGAGAGAAAGAGGGTAGAGCACATGGATAGGTCCGCGCATAGGGTGGGCAGACTTCGACCTTGACAAGAAGCCTGTTTCTCCCAGAAGGCATTCTGACAATCACACTCATCGATTTCCTGCTGCGATCAAATTCCAGTGTGGCTAGACGAGGGTGCAGAGCCACCCACCAATCCGTGCATCCTGGTCGCAGACAACGAAACAGACAGGCAAACGGCAAGATTAAGTGCGACACAAACATTCCCGCAAACAAAAATCATAGACTATCTTTCCCTTTCCAGACACTGCCACTCCATCCGGGACTTCGCTCTTTTTTTTTTCGTTTTTTTTTTTTTTTTGGAAACTCTGTTCAATATATAACTTGCCCATTACCACGCGACTGCTCTTTATACATAATCAACAAATGACACTCTTTTCCATTTTGGAAAATACTTGGAGCCTTGTACTCCCAGATCATTGTTTGCTAAGCATCAATTCTAGGAAATACTTGGGCAGCAACTCCAAATATTTCCAAAAATGGAAGGGAGTCTGAACCATAAGACTATCTTTCTTTGCAAAGAACAAAGGAAAAACGAGGAAGGAAAATAATTAAAAACTATGTTACCATTATTCAAAAAAAAAAGCAAGTTTCCAAGGGGGTGGGGGGGGAAGCAAGGTTAACAGGCCTGTCCATCCAGAGGATGCAGGTTATCCTGCCCATGCAGTCAGCCTACCCGAGCCACGGCGCAGGCGAAAAAGAGGTGGCAGTTTTTTTTAACTTTTTCGAAGATTTTTCCCTTTTTTTTCTGGGCACAAGCGGTGGAGTATTTCCGCGCCCGACAAGATCAGCGCAAATCCAGGCTCGTTCGCGTTTTTGACATTTTGGGTGAGGAGGGGAAAGGGAGGCATAAATGAAGTTTACGTAATATATATGCCAAAGGTTTAAAAAATATATATAAATAAATAAATGAAGTTTACGCATGTAAAGGGGTTTAAGGGATGAAAGGGACTCGTTATTTTGTAATGGGATTTTGAGACTCGTTAATCTAGAATGGGACATTCATTTGAAAATGGGACACGTTAATAATTTGGAACAGGACCCAATAAAAGTTGGCATGGGACATTAAAATTTGCCATGGCAGCTAAGCCACCAGAATGGCCCGGGCCGGGCCAAATAAAGAACAAAAAAATATTGTTTAATTTTATTTTAATTTTTTTATTCGGTAAGGAATTTCGATTCAACCCTGAGGGAAAGCTTGTTCAGTTTATTTTTATTCATGGCATAATTCCTTTCCAGATTTTTTGGATTTTTTTTTTTTTTTTTTTTTTGGCAGGGACCTTCCTCGGCCCTTGCTCGGCCGAGCTGCCCGGGCAAGCCCAGCATGGCACTCAATAATGTGGTATGGGATGATGGGACTCATTGTTTCGGAATGAACCACATTATTTGGGAATGGGACTCCTTATTTTGAAATGCGACTCGATCTTTTGAAAATAGAACTCATCATGGAACTCGGGTGGAGTGGGAACAGGCCAGATACCATTTTGGGATAGACACCAGTCTGTCTGTCTGTCTGTCTGTCTGTCTGTCTGTCTGTCTGTCTGTCCCAGAATGGGACAGACTGGTGGCATCCGAATCGAATCCGTTGTGGGATAGGAATCAGGAGGAAGAGGCCAGAGTGGACTTGTTATTCCGAAATGGGATTCGTTATTTTGAAATGGGACTCGCCATGGAACTCAGGTGGAATGTGAGTCATGGGGGAACAGGCCAGAAACCATTCTGTGAACACGTCTGTCCCAGAATGGGACAGACCGGTGGAATGGGACTCGATGTTTTGAAATAGAACTCGTCATTGAACTCAGTTGGAACGGGAGTCATTGTGGAACAGACAAGAAAAAATTATGGGACAGACACCAGTCTGTCTGTCTGTCCCAGAATGGGACAGACTTGTGGCATGGGAATCGAGTCTGTTGTGGGATGGGAATCAGGAGGAAGAGGCGAAGGTGGACTTGTTATTCCGAAATGGGACTCGTTATTTTGAAATGGGACTCAATGTTTTGAAAATGGGACTCGTCATGGCAGTCAGGTGGGATGGGGGTCATTGTGGAACAGGAGAGTAACCATTGTGGGAGCAAGTCTGTCCCAGAATGGGAACCGGTCCCACAATGGGACAGACTGGTGGAATGGGAATCCATTCTGTTGTGGAATGGGAATTAGGAGGAAGAGGCCAGACATGTGGAATGGGACTCGTCATCGTAGAATGGGACTCTGGTACACCAGCCACCCAATGGAGCATACCTCCCTCTATCCATCCAGCTGCACAACGTCGTAGTTCAAAAAAGACTACATCCTCCACAAACAAGTTGAAATCGACGCAAAGAAAAAAGAAAGAAAAAGAAGTCGAAATCGGCGCACTTCCGTCGCCGGTTGCGGGAAAAAGGGCTCACTGCAAAAATCTGACAGCAGGCTTCAAGATGCGTCTTCGGCCCCTCACACGTGGCTAACAGGGGGTGTTATTTCCGGGGAATTCTGCACCTGAAACTCTCATATTGGCTGGATTTTTGTTTCTTTTTTCCCCTTTCTTTTTCGCGCGCAATATGATATGTAAGCAGACTGAGAAATCTGCTGTTTTCTGAGTTTTGGCGCATGTTCAACTGACTTGCTGAGATCCCAAAACTCTGCTGACTTGTGTCTGTGTGTGTGTTTGTCAACATCCCCAAACTCTCTCTCTCTCTCTCTCAAACACACACACACACACAAAATCTCTGCAGCACCTCTACCGCGGCTCAGACCTGCAAGCTACACTAGAAAGCCATCCACAACTCTCTCTCTCTCTCTCTCTGCAAGCTACACTTGAAAGCCCTCC